TTTTTTTGCCTGAACCATTATAATATTTTAAATTATTTTTTGTCATTGTAATAACTTCTGTTTTAAAATATGCAGCATGAGGCCGGGTGATGGCACATGCCTGTAATCCCAGCACTTTGGGAGGCCGAGGTGGGAGGATCCCTTGAGCCCAGGAGTTTGAGACCAGCCTGGGCAACAAGGCAAAACCCTATCTCTACTAAAAATATGTAAAAATTAGCCAGGCATGGTGGTGTGCACCTGTGCTCCCAACTATTTGGGAGGCTGAGGTGGGAAGATGACCTGAGCCTGGGGAGGTTGAGGCTGCAGTGAGCCATGATCATGCCACTGCACCCCAGCCTGAGCAACAGAGTGAGATCCTGTTTCAAAAAGGAAAAAAGAAAAAAAAAAAAAGGCAGCATGTTCTATGTGAGGGCTCCTCTCATTAGTACTGATATGGGGCAGGTGAGCTCTTTGGCGCTGCGCACCACCGGCTGCTCATTACTCAACATGGTCTTACCGATGTCTACACCATCTCCTTTTCCAACCTGCAGGCTCCCTCGGGGATGGGAACCCACCCAGTCTTCATGTCCTTTTCTGTTTGGGGAGATTCCTGTTTAAATTTCTTTTCGGGGATTCTTGAATCCCCAAACTCTAACCAAACAATTAATACTCTTTTTTTTCCCCCCTGGGAAACAATGGGATTCATAAATCGTGACCATTGTCCATTGTTCTGAAATAGGTTCTCAGTAAGAACTGCGTGCCTTCTATTTTGGAAAAGAAATTATATTTACTGCAACAAAAGAACATGATTTATCTGTAAAATTCTCTGCCACACATGCTACCCATTTGTAGTTTTAATGTTTCTGTGAAATAATAAGCAAACTGGCCCTTGACCCTCCTTCATAGGCATTGTAGAGTTGTGATTGGCTATTACCCACTGCTCAACATCTGTGCCCAGGGGAGGTCATCCAAGGATGAGTCCTCCCCATCCTTCATCCTTGATGGAATGTCTCTGGTAGGCCCACCGAGCTTGGTGGTGAGATATGGGCAGAGCCCTATGGATCTACCCCTGTGTGCAAGCAAGCCAGAGCCCCGACCCCATATGTTCACTGTGCTGAGGGCAGTTTAGCTCTGACGGTGGCTGAAGACTCCAGCAAAGGATGAGGGGCCAGAACCAGCCTCTGATGGGCTCTGTCTCTAGGTGTTCTAAAAGGTTGATTTCTTTGCTTATTAAAGGGTTTTATTTTTTATTTTTTATTTTGAGACGGAGTCTCGCTCTGTCACCCAGGCTGGAGTGCAGTGGCACTATCTCGGCTCACTGCAAGCTCTGCCTCCCGGGTTCACGCCATTCTCCTGTCTCAGCCTCCCGAGTAGCTGGGACTACAGTCACCCGCCCCACACCCGGCTAATTGTTTTTGTATTTTTAGTAGAGACGGGGTTTCACCGTGTTAGCCAGGATGGTCTCGATCTCCTGACCTCGTGATCTGCCCTCCTCGGCTTCCCAAAGTGCTGGGATTACAGGCGTGAGCCACCGTGCCTGGCTCATTAGAAGAGTTTAAAGGTTGGCCTGGACCAGAGAAGGTCGTTACCCCGATTCTGGTGAGAATCGGAACTCCCCCTCCCCCAGCACTTAGTGCAGGGTCTGATGCTGGGACGTGGATAATGTTGAATGGATGCGATCTTGAACCCTCTGAAGTTTTCTCAAACTCTGCTCCATGCTCCCCTAACAGGGTGAGAGCATTTACCGCACCCTCCCTACCTTCCCCTTCTCACATATGCACACTCACACTCACACGCAGTCTCACACTCACGCATCTATCCTCACACACATACTCGTTTAATGTGCACGCACACACCTTAGCATCAGGCTGAGCAGCCGGGGGGCATGACTGCCGGAGACTGACACCAATTCTCCATTAGGCCCAGGCCAGGTGTTGGGGAGTGTCTGTGGGTTGCCCTCCAGATCCCTCAGCCTCTGGCATGGACCCCAGGTGGGCAGCTCTGGTCACTTAACTGGTAGTGTTTCCCGAATGGTCAAACTGGGCTGGGAATCAGCCAGCTGGGCGTTCAGTCGTGGCCAAGTCACTCATGAGCCATGTGTCTTTGCACAAATTCTTTTGCATTTCTAGGCCTTGATTTTCCTCATCCATAAAATGGGGTTCATCATTGGATGGCTGTGTGGATTTATTGAGCCATCTTGTAAAACACGGAGTGGAGTGCTTGGCTTAGAGTGAGAGTTCAATAAATAACATTCCTAGAAATAATAAGGCAGAGACTCCAGCTCATGAAGAAACCTTTTAGGTTTGCACTTGGCAATTTGTATTGACAGAAGGGCAGGCCCATGGTGCCTGCAGGTCTGGGTCACAAGCTTGTGAAGTTGGACTGACATTGGACCTGGCAGAGCAGGGCTCAGGACATACGTTCTGCTGAGCTGATAGCTGGGGACTACTCAGCTGCACCTTCCTCACTGAGCCCTGCCCGGGTTCCATGATCTCATGCTGCCTCTAATAGCCCTGTTCTTGGTTTTGCAGCCGGAGCCTAAGCCTGGAGACCTGATTGAGATTTTTCGCCCTTTCTACAGACACTGGGCCATCTATGTTGGCGATGGATATGTGGTTCACCTGGCCCCTCCAAGTAAGAACACACAGGACCTCCACTGTGATGGGCCCCAGGGACTGGGAAGAGAGGGGATGGGGAACTGTGGGTAACAGGTGACCCCAACATTCTTCTTGCTTCCCAACTGGCAGCTGTCTCTGAGTGTTACAAGAAGTTTGATGTGGGGCAGTTTGGTGTGGGGCACTGGTTTTCAAGGTCTGCTCCTTGGAACCTCAGGGGGTTCTTTAGAGCAGGGGTCCCCAACCTCCAGGCCCTGGACTGGTACTGGTTAGGAACTGGGCTGCAGAGCAGGAGGTGAGTGGCGGGCAAGCGAGCGAAACTCATCTGTATTTACAGCTGCTCCCCATCGCTTGCATTACCGCCTGAGCTCCGCCTCCTGTCAGATCAGCAGCGGCATTAGATTCCCATAGGATCATGAACCCTACTATGAACTGCACATGCAAGGGATCTAGGTTGCACACTCCTTGTATTTATCTGTTTTCATACTGCTATAAAGAACTACCTGAGACTGGGTAATTTATAAAGAAAGGAGGTTTAATTGACTCACAATTCTGCATAGTTGGGGAGGCCTTGGGAAACTTACCATTATGGCAGAAGGTGAAGGGGAAGCAAGGCAGGTCTTATACGGTGTCGGGAGGCAGGGGAGTACCACACTTTTTTTTTTTTTAGATAGAGTTTCGCTCTTGTTGCCTAGGCTGGAGTGCAATGGCACAATCTCGGCTCACTGCAAACTCCACCTCCTGGGTTCAAGTGATTCTCCTGTCTCAGCCTCCCGAGTAGCTGGGATTACAGGCACCTGCCACCACACCCGACTAATTTTTCTATTTTTAGTAGAGATGGATTTTCATCATATTGGTCAGGCTGATCTTGAACTCTGGACCTCAGGAGATCCACCTGCCTCAGTCTCCCAAAGTGCTGGGATGACAGGCATGAGCCACCGCATCCGAAGTGCCACACTTTTAAACCATCAGATCTTGTGAGAACTCACTCATTATCATGAGAACAACATGAGGGAAATCTCGCTCATTATCATGAGAACAACATGAGGGAAATCTCGCTCATGATTCAATCACCTCCCACATAGTCCCTCCCCTGACATGTGGGGATTACAGTTCAACATGAGATTTGGGTGGGGATACAGAGCCAAACCATATCACTCCTTATGAGAATCTAATGCCTGATGATCTGTCACTGTCACACATCACCCCAGAAGGGACTGTCTAGTTGCAGGAAAACAAGCTCAGGGCTCCTACTGATTCTGCATTATGGTGAGTTGTATGATTATTTCGTTATATATTACAATGTAATAATAATAGAAATAAAGTGCACAATAAACGTCATGTGCTTGAATCATCCCCAAACCATCCCTCCCCCCTGCCTAGTCCATGGAAAAATTGTCTTCCACGAAACCTGTCCCTGATGCTAAAAAGGTTGGGGACCGCTGCTTTAGAGGGACCGAGGTGGTATCTGAGGAGGAAGCTCTGCTTTGATTTTTTTTATGCTGTGACTTTGTATGCAACACACTCAAAAAAAAATTTTTTTTTGACAGAGTCTCAGTCTGTTGCCCAGGCTGGAGTGCAGTGGTATGATCTCAGCTCACTGCAAGCTCTGCCTCCTGGGTTCACACCATTCTCCTGCCTCAGCCTCCTGAGTAGCTGGGACTACAGGTGCCTGGCACCACACCGGACTAATTTTTTGTATTTTTAGTAGAGATGGGGTTTCACTGTGTTAGGCAGGATGGTCTCGATCTCCTGACCTTGTGATCTACCCACCTTGGCCTCCCAAAGTGCTGGGATTACAGGCGTCAGCCACCACGCCCGGCCGCAACACACTCAACTCTTAAGCGTAAAGCTCCTGGGAAGAGTGCAGGTGTTTGGGCAGAGAGACTGGTTATGAATCCAGTTTCCATTCTTCAGCCTTGGTTTCCTTTTTTGCAAACTGAGGATATGAATACTTAACTTGGAGAACTCTCGTGAGAACTCCTCACCCTTCTCTTAAGCCTTTAACTTAAACTGGGGTATAACATAAATATTGTAAAATGTACAAGCATAGTAAAGTATACAGTCAGTGAATTTAAAAAAAAAAAAATCCATCTATGTAACAATGTCCCAGATCAACAACTAGAACATTCCCACTGTGCCACTTACCCTGAAAGGTTCTCTCGTGCTTCTACAATATCCCCTCTGCACCCCTCGCCCAGGCAACCATCATTCTAGCTTTTCCTGCCATAGATGAGGTTTGCCTGTTCTAGAACTTCATGGAAGAGGTATCACACGGCCTACACTCTTTTGTGTCTGGCTTCTGTTAGCAAACATCATGCCCATGTGAGTCATCCATGCTGCTGTGAGTAGCAGGAGATCTTTTTCACTGCTGTGTGTTTTCCATTATATGAATACGCCACAATTTAGCATCCATTTTTCTGACATCAGACTCATTGCAGGTTTTGACTGCTATGAATAGAACTGTTATAGACCCTCTTTTTTTTTTTTTTTTTTTTTCTGAGGCGGAGTCTTGCTCTGTGGCCCAGGCTGGAGTGCGGTGGCATGATCTTGGCTCACTGCAACCTCTGCCTCCTGGGTTTAAGCGAGTCTCCTGCCTCACGCTCTGGAGTAGGTGGGATTACAGGCGTGCGCCACCATGCCTAGCTAAGTTTTGTATTTTTAGTAGAGATGGTATTTCACCATGGTGGCCAGGCTGATCTCAAACTCCTGACCTTAAGTGATCTGCCCGCCTTGGCCTCCCAAAGTGCTGGGATTACAGGCGTGAGCCACCGTGCCTGGCCTTCTGGAATGTTTTATTTTTATCCTTATTTTTTTTTGAGACAGAGTCTCGCTCTGTTGCCTATGCTGGAGTGCAGTGGTACAATCTCAACTCACTGCAACCTATACCTCCTGGGTTCAAGCGATTCTCTTGCCTCAGCCTCCTGAGTAGCTGGGATTATGGGCACACACCTTCCCCCAAGGCCCACAGCCACGTGTCTGACCCTTCTACATGTTGCTTATCCTATGTGGATGGAGCCAAAGGCAGATACCCTGCTGGGGGCCAGCTCTGAGCCTCTGTGGCCCTTCCCAGAACCAATCTGTTTCCTCTTTGTGGATCTGCAGGTGAGGTTGCAGGAGCGGGTGCAGCCAGTGTCATGTCTGCCCTGACTGACAAGGCCGTCGTGAAGAAGGAATTGCTGTATGATGTGGCCGGGAGTGACAAGTACCAGGTCAACAACAAACATGATGACAAGTACTCACCGCTGCCCTATAGCAAAATCATCCAGCGGGCGGAGGAGCTGGTGGGGCAGGAGGTGCTCTACAAGCTGACCAGCGAGAACTGCGAGCACTTTGTGAACGAGCTGCGCTATGGAGTCGCCCGCAGTGACCAGGTGCGTCCTCTGCCCATGTCGCCTTCCCCAGGAACAAGACCATTCCCTCAGCTGACGGAGGCTGGGCATGGCTATGGAAGCGTGAACAAGACAAAGTAGCAGAGACAGAATTACTGCCCTTAAGGATGTCACAGTTGGAGTGGGGACAGGGTGGGGAAAGAGGCAAGTTGGCAGATCAGTGTAGTCGGGGCCGGGGTTGGGTGGCCAAGGAAGGGAGTCACAGACATGATATTCATTCCTGTTGCCAAGCCCTCCCTAGCCACGTGTCCCTGAGATGGCCCTCCCAGCCCTAAAGGCAGGTTTTAGGACCCACTACCTTACAGATTGGCAAACTGAGCTTAAGTAACTTGTCTACAGCCATTCGTTTCATCAAAAAAATCTTTGTTGAGTCTCCAGACCTGGTACCTGTCTTTTCCCGTGCAGATAATTCGCAGAGCTGGGATTTGGAGCCCAGGTCTGTGTGGCATAGCCGGATCATGCTTATAAACAGCACTGTCTTCAGCTTGGCTGAACCCTAAGGGTGAATCTGGGAGACACTAGGGGATGCAGTTTTGTTCATTTACTTGATTTTATTTTTGTCATTCCTCTCCTTTCAATCTCGTTTTCTCCTCCCATTTTCTTGCACTTCTTCCCCCTCCCTTGCAGCCACTTCCATCTTTTTTTTTTTTTTTTTTTTTTTTTGCATAGTTGAAAAGAACATTGGGAAGGTTCTTACATGGCTGTTGATACAAAAGGACATGTATTTTTTTCAGTGAATTATTAGGTTAAGATCCATCAGGCTGTTCACTTTTATTATTATTATTTTTGAGATCCAATTTCTTCTTCCCTGGTCAGTGTGGTGGTTAAGAGCATGGGCTCCTGGAGTCAGGCCAACGTGGGCTGGACCTGGTCTCTGCCTTTTGCCGGCTGTCTGACCTCAGGAGAGTTAGTCCAGCTCCCTACACTTTGGTAAAGTACGAATGATAATACTCATCTTGGAGGATTACCATGTGAATTAAATAAGAGCATGTTTATTCTTAGCACAGTGCTGACTCAAAAAATTCACTGAATACATTGTACTAGTAAAAATAGTCATAATTATCCTCTTTTTTTTTTTTTTTTTTTTGCTTGGTTCATCCAGTGCCTGGTCCACTGGCCTCTGTGGTTCACAGCGACTTGAATGGGAAGACATTGACTAACACCACCTGTAGGAATCACTCTTACTCTCTTCACACTGCTGATAACCAGCTGTGCTTACTACACCAACCCTCAAGTTTGTTAGGCGGCTCCTATACCTGTCTACAGTGAGATATTAGTTACCTTTAAACGGGTATCCTCTTACCTTTTTTTCAATCAGCTGGGTTATTAATGTTCAACAACTAGTTATATATGAATGTTAAAGGTGATCAACTTAGAAATTGAGTAGGTGGTACATAGCTAACTAGGTAAAGAAAGGGCAGTATTGCCAATGTTTGTGAAGACTGCAGTCTGTCGGTCATGGTCTGGCTTCAACTTCCCCGAGAGTTGATAAGAGCTTTCTTCTGGGGAATGAGTGGGCAGGGCCATGAGAAGTTCGTTAGTGCCCGAATATTGGCAGGTTTCAAAAGGTGATGCATTGAAATCAGGAGACCAGGGGATAGTGGCACTTACCACATCTATCTCTTGGGGATAACAGTCTTCAAAACATTTGTCTCTTGTTTTTCTTTTCTTAAAACAATTTTATTTTAGGCTGGTCACAGTGGCTCACGCCTGTAATCCCAGCACTTTGGGAGACTGAAGCAGGCAGACCACTTGAGGTCAGGAGTTTGAGACCAGCTTGGCCAACATGGTGAAACCCCGTCTCCACTAAAAATACAAAAGCTGGGCATGGTGGCTCACGCCTGTAATCCCAGCACTTTGGGAGGCCAAGGCGGGCAGATCATGAGGTCAGGAGATCGCGACCATCCTGGCTAACATGGTAAAACCCTGTCTCTACTAAAAATACAAAAACTTAGCCAGACATGGTGGTGGGTACCTGCGGTCCCAGCTACTCGGGAGGCTGAGGCAGGAGAATGGCGTGAACCCAGGAGGTGGAGCTTGTAGTGAGCCGAGATGGCACCACTGCACTCCTGTCTGGGCAATGGAGCGAGACTCTGTCTCAAAAAA